ATTGCCACCTGAGAAATTTGCAGATGTCCGACACCTGTTAGATGAAAAACGCCAGCACTCCCGTCCACGGCCACCAGTCAGCAGTACTAAATCAGGTATCTTTCTTCGTTTATGTTCCTGGTCTTCATTCTGAGCTCCAGCGAGCAAACTGGGGCAAGGATAGGTTTTTTGATAAAACTTTGCTGTTTTGAACTGATTTAAATTTCTGTTCATCATGTCAAAATTTTGGTTTTATATTGGAATTTCAGAACATGAAAAATAATTGGACTTTGGCAAAACTAGCTTTTAATATTTTTGTCCAAAATAATATTTTACTCTTTATGTCACTGGTATACATTGTATGCAAGAATAGTAGAAATTAAATTGGGTAGTTTTATAAATGGTTAAGAGTTTAAACTAGACCATTTAAGCATGCATTCATATAGCAGGTATACAGTTGTGCTTGCTGTCAGGCCTCGGTTAGAAGCTGGCATGTAAGAAATCTTTGGAAAGACTACAAAACCATCATAGATCTACTGGGAGAATTGTGGAAGGCTTCTTAGAGGAAATGGTTTATGTGTTCTAGAAAGATAACTGGAGGGTGGAGTAGGGTGGGTTAGAGAGTTAAGTAAATAATGAGAACCTGAACTAGGTCAGGGACAGCAGAGACAGAAACGGTGAGAACATCCTATTCTCAGTCTTGGGAAGGAAGACTTGGTGCTGGGAAGTAAGGGGGGAAAGGCAGAGAAACATAGAAGGGGCTCAGTCTGAGTGATCAGGGAGATAAATAGGTGCCTCTCTCTGGGAGCAGTTTAAGTAAAATGGGCAAGAGCCCCAGCACAAGGCTTTTGCTAATGAATGTCACTAGTGTTGTTGCTGTTAGGGGGAACCAGTTCAAATAGCTTTGTGAGGAGGGGTAAGAGGAAAAACAAACAAATTTGGCTTGGGATATCTGGCCTTGATCCTTTGCTTTTTGCCAATCTTATTATGTTTACTGGTTAAATGAAATAAATTTATCGAGAACAACTTATTTGTTCAAAGATTGTGGCTTCTCCCCTTGGGGAACTTGGAGTTTTCATAAGTTATTTAGTCTTGCTTGGTTCCCCCCTGCCAAAAAAAAAAAAAAGGTGTTTCTGCTTCAGAAATTTTTTTCTGAATTGAGATTCTTTTCCCGGTGATAGCACCTGCCTCTGAAATTCCCTAGCAAAATAATGTAGATTAATTATGAAGAACAGAGTCTTTTGGAAGGTTGATTTTGTCTGGTCCTGTGTCCTCACTCAGGGAGATTTGGTACCAGGTCTATAAGAAATTTCAGGTTAACAGTACAAGTAATGAAACATGCACATTTGATCACTGTAGTACTTTTTTCTTTTTCCAGATATACGACAGCGGTTAGGAAAAAGACCATATTCTCCAGAAAAGGCTTTTAGTAGTAACCCAGTGGTTCGGAGAGAGCCCTCTTCAGATGTA